TATTGCAAGGGATCTTGAAAAAACTTCCTGGATCCTTTTAAACTTTGGAGGCAATTTGGTTTGTGGATAATTGACAATCCTGCATCTCCTCAATTACATTATTGTTTAACCTTGATCATCGATTTTTTTCGTTTCCTTGTTAGGATATCTTTTTTAGGAATTTATTGGCACATTTATTGTTCTAGGCATTTGAGTTCCTCAGAGCTTCACAAAAGGATATTAATTTGGATATTGCTTTTTAAATACGTTTCCAGAACTTGAGGTTAAGCTCTTGTGCGTCTTGTGCTATTCTTTATCTTGTGTGAGAAAAGGAGCAGGTGAAAACATAAGGTTTTCACCTGGGTTTTTTGTTCTTCTAAAGGGTCAATGATGGGACTTTGGCCTGCTTCTTTTTCTTCCTTCCTTCTTTTTGGTGGTTCTTTCTAAATTTGTTTGCAGTATTCTTTCTTCTCAGGTGATAGCCTGCACTTGTTCTTTTAAGGATTCTTTTCAGTATTGTCTAGGTAAGTGTTCCCTATGGGAGGTCGAGATGCCATCATTGTTTTGCAAATTGCCCTAGTGATTTCTTAAATTTCTTATTATCGGTAGCGCCTGCCTGGATATTTATGGTTTTTCCTCTGGTTTTCATTCATGAATCCATGTGTGATTTAGAAAGGGCAGTTGTGGAGGTCATTATGAGATTTTTCTTTTCTGAGAGGAAGGAAACCTGGTGGTGCATTCAAGGCATTGTTTAGGCTTACTATAGAATAGATTAGGATGGTTCCCTTTTAATCTGTTAAACTCATATCTTTATGAGTTTGGATATAAGGTAATTCTTTCCTTCCTTGATTCATCACATAGTTTACTTGCACCAAAGTTTTGGTGATTCAAAGAGTCATCATGCATTCTCCATTCCAATGTTGTCCATTGCACCTATCACAAACTTGCATAATAGATTCACTAGGATTGTAGTTAACATGTCCAATTTTCTTTTAACCATGTTATCCCACCGTTGGCAATTAGTGCCTGTAATGGCGTCTATTTCATAGACTCCTGCGGTTCTTTTTCTTTCTGGATTGTTTTGGTAATGGCTGTTGCTTGCCATCTCTTCTATTACTTCGTAGGCTTCATCAATTCCCTTCTTTTTCAAACGGATCCGCTGCAGATGCCATCTAAAGGTGATTTTGAAATGTTAGGGGATAATGCATTATAAGAAAGTTTGTACCTGTAGCCACTTTAGGCAAACTGTGATGTGGGCCCACTTTCTCAAACAAGTCCTTGAATTTTCCCAAGCTTCATACAAGGCTCTCTTGAATCATGATGAAAGAATTGTCATTATCTCATTGCGGCAGCGTGGTGGGTTTGAGGATGGAAGAATTTTGCCTTAGAAACTTTTGAGTTACACAATGTCGTTCACGCATGGTTTGGATGAAACTTACCAGCAGTGGGACATGATTGTAAACCAGCGATCTTGCTTTTTATTCCCATAAGATGTGAAGGGAAAGTCCAGTTTTTGTTTGCGTCTTCCAGATAACACCCATTCACTGTTTGAAAGTATCAGCACAATTTCTTAGGAATTTGTGATATGGGCATTCAGGATCTTCACTAGGCAAACCCCCATATTGGATCGAGGGTGGAGAGCATTTGGATAAATTGCGGGTTAACTCATTAAAATTATTACTTTCCATCCTAGGTTCTTGCTATCTTAAGGTTGTCCCATTCAGATTTGGGTGTTGTGTAATCTCGCAAGTAACGGACCCCGGACTGTTGACATATGGAGGCCGATTATGTTTTCGTTCAAGTTTTTCGTTTTTCGTTAGGGCCATGTCTTGCTTTTTGTTTGGGTTTATTTCTCGTGCTCTTCTTTGCAGCGTTGTGCCTACGAAAAGTTCTTTCAATTTCTTGAATCAAAAGACTTAGACGTTCAGTTCTTCCTTGATCTTCCTTTGCATAAAACACCTGAAATAAATTCTTAAAAGAAAATTAATAAAAATAAAGAATGTTCTAAATTTAAGCAATAGGGTAATTGTATTGATATGATAACGCCAATCCCCGGCAACGGCGCAAAACTGTGGCAGTCGATTTTCAACAAGTGTACGAATGCAACAAGTAATATAGAGTAAGAGAGTAATCGTATCCACAGGGATTGTATATCAGTACCAAAAAATTATGTTAACCTATTATTATTTAAACGATAATAAGAGAGAATTGCTTGTAAGTGAAATTAAATCTAAAAGTGGAGAACAGAAAGAGATTCAAGCAACAAATTTAGGTGAAAAGAAATCAGGGATTTAAAACTACTAGGGAATTTGATTTCACTTAATTCTATCCCAACCTTATTCTCCTAGTTCCATTAATCAATTTTAATTGTTCAAGTAGGGGAACACCCTGGAATCCATACAAGCTTCTCCGGATGTATTGTTAGCTTTATTCTAATTTAAGTCTATTACTATCTTTCCAATAGTGAACATAAACACTGAATTAGATCTTTGAGTTTTGTGGTTGTTTTTGTGAGTTCATAACCTAAGATCATTAATTTATGAAAACCCCCTTGAGTCAAACCATATAGCTTTCGCGTCCAAGTTTTATTCTCAAGTAATTTATTATCTTTTTCATGTCAAACCCTTCTCCCGATAGCGATTATTGAAATATTTCATCTAGGGGAAAAATTCTGCTGAAGATTTAAGCACAAATAGATAAATTATAACAAGAACAATGAAAGAAGCCAAATCTAAATATTATAAATTGGAATCGAATTAAGTTACCAATCTATACAAAAGTTTAGCTGGACTAGTAATTAATTAAACTCAGTATACTTGAATCAATCATCATACTTAGTGATAAAATGAAAGAAACTAATATGAAGAGTTTAAAGATAAAACCTAATCAACGCTATGTGGATGGCATTCCTTGAATCTTGGCAGCAAATCTTGGATGCTTGAAAGTCCTTTTGAGAAGAGAAGAAATCTATGCAGAAATAGCCCAAAAAACGAGATGCTCCCTCAATGCACGGTTCCCCTCTTTATATAGAAGGCTTTCCTGAAGGCAAATCCTGACTCGTTGTAGAGAATAGAATCCTTTATTAAGTGCCAAAATCTTTTATGGGATCATAGATGTTTAGGCATTGGGATTTGCTTCTTAATTGGGACTCTTTCTCTTCCAAAAGTGGTTTAGGTTCTTATTTAGTTACGTTTAGAAGTCTCTCCGAGGCGGGCCCATGTTGAGGAAAAAGATTGATTTGTGTCTTTTAGTTCACGTAGTTCTGCCTTCGAAGCACGGGCGTGCTATGATGCACGGCTGGGGCTTTGCTTTAAGTCTGCGAAGTTTGGCTGGTTGGAGCACGGGGTGTGCTAGGCAAAGCACACCCCATGATGAAATCTTTGTAGCCGGGGTGTCATATAGCACAGGGCGGGGCGTGCTTTGTTCTATCCTACCCAGCTAGAGTTTACAATGGGCGTGCCTAGGTCTGGCACGCCCTTGCTTCTTCTGCCACTGGCTGTGCCTTCTAGCATGTTCTCAGGGGTGCTGACTCCCTGACTCTCCCTTATTTTCCTTAGTTTTTTTAGCATGGTTGATGCTATTTGTTAAGCAACGGGCTGGGTGGTGCATGGAGGCTGAGTAATTTTGCCTTGTAATCGCCTTTTTCCTGTGCAAAACCTGCAATTTCTCCTCAGATCAAGCGTTTAGTTATGATTCAAGGAAAGCTTTTGAACAAACATTATAACTAAAATGAATTTAAAAACAAATCAAGCGTAAAATTTACTAAAATTCTAATAGAAAAAAATATATTAAATACTATAAAATTAACACCTATCATGCCTTTTATAAAAATCTTATCATTTTTATATTTAATTGTAAGTCTCAGAAAATAATATATAAACTTAAATTTAAACAAATAAGTAAATTAACGCTAAATTTCAACTCAAATAGTATAATGAGAGTTACAAGCTTACCCCTGCATTTGAACTTGGGCTTTTACATTTACAGGCATTGTTTCTTTAGAAGAGAAATCTATTTAGGCAAAGATTAATACTGTTAGAAGATTAAAGAAAACAAGAATTTAACAGTTTAAAAAAAAATTTTTTTTTTTCAAACTTATTTTAATATTGTTTGACATTTTTATTTTTTTTTTGAGCTTTTTCCCTCATGGTGTATTTGTTTGCTGGCAGAGGTTGCATGCAACTAAAATGATGATTAAACTTATTTAATAAACTTAATGATGACAATGTATCTTATTTTAACAGCTGCGTACATTCTAGTTCTAATTTTCCATTTTATCGTGGTCCAATTTCTTATGAAACAAGAGAGATTCATATTTTTCAAAAGATTTTTCATTAAAAATTTAATTTTAAATTTTAAACCAACGGAATTTAGATATTATTGTATTTTAAAAATTTAATAAATTGCTGCCGGATGAATTTATTTATAAATTAAACATGTAGAATATAATTTTATATAATTAACCAAATCAGTAAAACCTTATTTGAACAAATCAACTCAATTTGAACCCAACAACCCATTGACCCAATTAGAACTCCCTAGAAAACCCAAAATCCCCATTTTTACGTCTTAAACCCATCTCCTCCTTCTCTTCACGATTGCACCACAGCCTCCACCTCCACATTCTTTCTCTCTGATACCGCCCACCAGCAGACCAGCCTTTTACTCGTCACCGTCGCCCTCTCCCTCTTCCATTTCTTTTTCAGCTAGAAGCATTAACCGAGTGTGGAGCTGGCGTTCGTTTTGTCCAGTGACGCCAGTCCGTAGCTGGCTGTCGTGAGCTAAGCGTCCTCCGTTTTTAGCCTTCTACGACACCGTCCTCATTGTCTTGCCTGAAGTTTGCGTCGCAGTGAGAAGAGGAGGAGCTGGCGATTTTTCGATCGACGCCAGCTTGCTCCTTGTCGCTCGATTTTCAGTGAGTCCAGCTTGGAGATTCGGCCAACTACACTCCCTCTTTAACCTCCAGCATACCTCGCCACCTTTCCATCCTTTTCCGGTGAGTTAAGCAGGCGGCAGTAGTGGTTAATGAGGCTTAGTTGCAACAGGCCGTCATTTTAAAACCCGAAAAATTTCCGATTTTCGGCTTGGGTTTGCAGCTAGGTAGCATATTTTTGTCCTTCTTCTTAGATTTAATTCCAAGATATTATTTGACCCTTAGTCTTGAACGGATTTGTGGTATAATAAATTGAGCTATTGCATTGAAGTTTATATATTCTAGCTACTGTTATGTGAATAAGATTAGGATTTGAATTTTTCTGTCACCTTATTGGTAATATCTTCTATATTGAGATTGAATTTTTGCTCTTTAAATTGGTATATATTCTATATTGAGATGGTTAGATTATTACGTCTATTATAAATTCTTGTGAACAATTAAGGATTCTTTGGGTTGAAAATAGCTAGTTAGCTATATGCTGACGTTTTGATTTTCTGTTAAGGATTTTGATTTTCCTATTTCAAACAGCCAAAACGTAATTTAGGGTTTAGGCCAAAAATAATAATTTGATCTGTTCTGTTTTTTTTTTTAAAACCTTTTTTTGTTCCAAAACTTGTTTTATACCAAAATCAAATGCACGATAGAGTTTGGTTTTTGTTTTTGATTACTATTTTTGTACACCTTGTATATTTTAATTCCAGGTTTGTGATTTTTCTCCTTGCTTTCCTTTTTTTTTTTTTTTTTTAAATCAAAATCTTGATAATGCTTGGATTGTAAATTTCATATGTGAGGTTCACGTTTTAGGGTTTGTAGTTTTTGCTAGAATGCTTGCTAATTACAATCTAGTCAAATGATCTCCAAATAATATTTTCGTTCCCTGGATAAAAAATTGCACTATCTTGTCTGGTACATGTTTTTAGCTTAGACTCTCATGCCTTCGTCATCTTCTTCCTGCCCGACAGTATCTCTGGCCAAAAGGATCAACGATAATTCAATTACAGACGCAAACAATCAAATCACATGTAATATTTCTCTTCAGTCTCTATTATAAACTTTTGTTTGAAAGGAGGTAGTCCAATTTGTTTGCTCTTAATTGCTATCTTTCGTAATTCCTATCAATTAATTAGCTAGCATGGAGGGAGATTCTGTGGAAAGGTTCAAGTCACTCCATATCTCCCCTCTTGATGATGATGGTGATATTGAAGATGAGCAAGAAATGCCTCTTGAAGAAGACGATGATGAAGAAGATGAACAAGAACCGGTAACTCTGGGTTTTGTAGAAAAGCCGAAGAGTAGTTGGTCTCTTCTTCGGCAGTTATTTCCGAGCAAGGCTGGTGGTGTGCCGGTACATTTTTATTGACACTACTTTATCTCTTCAAATAGTTGAAAGAGATACTCTGTATATATTTTGAACTAATGTGGTTGATTTTTAAACAGAAATTACTAAAGGATCTAATCTGTGATTGGTTTGTATCTTGCAGGCTTGGCTGGATCCAATTAATTTGCCATCTGGAAGGTCCAGTGTTTGTGATATATGTGGAGATCCTTTGCAATTTTTGCTGCAGGTACATTTTTTTTCCCATAAATTTTGCTAACTTTGATTATTCTCATATGAGATTTTATAATTCTATAGCTTGTATTGCTTTTGTTCAAGGATTCATATTTTGAATATTTTTGTTAAAATATTTGAAATTTTTTTTCCTGTAATTGTCCTCTTTTTTTTTTTTTTTTTTTTTTTTTTTTTTTTACATAATAAAAAGAGAGAAGGATAAGAGAGGACATCACACAAAAAATATCATAAAAAAGATATATATAATTGTTAAAAAAAATAAAATATTGAAATTTTTTTTTTATCCTTGTAAAAAAACAAAAATGTTCCTCTTTTTTTTTTTTTTTTTTTTTTTTTTTGTTTTTTTTTTATGCAAATAAAATGATAGAGGGAAATTATTTTGAAAAAATAATCTTGTCTATTGAATTTTCTAGGTTAGCACAGCACGATTATCAATGATCACAGAAAAGGACAGCATTTCCACGAACATTAGTTGTTTAATGTGCTCAATTGTCATGGTCTTCTCTTCAAAGATAGCAAGAAAATTGGAACACAGCGCAGCAGAAGAAGTCAGTCCTTTCGAAGGTATTGTTTGTTAACAAACCTGGACTGTTTTTGTTGAATGTTTGTTCAAATATCGCCTTTTTTTTTGCTTTTTTATTTTAATACAATATTTTTTTATATGGAATCCTCCCATCCTTCCTGTAAGGTTTTTTGTGGTCTCCTATATTACAGCTTGCTTTCGATGATATTTGTATATAATGCCTTGTAAAGTGTTAGGTTTTCTCCGTGCCAGTTTACACTTGCTCTATTCCATTTTAAATACTCTAAGTGCCCCGCCCAAGGACTTGATTGGTAACTGACAAACCTTCCAATCCTGGAGGTAAAGTATGTTTTTTTTTTTTTTTTTTTTTTTTTTTTTTTTGCAAATAAGAAGATAGAGGGAAATATTTTTGAAAATAAAAATCTTGTCTATTGAATTTCTAGGTCTATGCACCATTATCAGAAAAGGAATCAGCATTTCATCGAACATTATTTGTTTTTATGTGCCCGTCAATGTCATGTCTTCTTCAAGATCAGCATGAACAATGGAAGCGCAGGCCAGAGAAGTCATCTCGAAGGTATTGTTTGTACAACTGTTGTTGATGTTGTTCAAATATCGTTCTTGCTTTTACAATTTTTATATTGGATCCTCCTCAATTCCTGTAAGGTTTTTTGTGTCTCCTATATACATGCTTTTCTGATATTGTATATAATGCTTTGTAAAGTGTTAAGGTTTTCCGCTGCCAGTTACCTTGCTCTAATCCATTTTACTCAAGTAAGCCGCCAAGACTTGATGGTACTGACAAACCTTCTAATCCTGGAGGTAAGATGTCTTAAGTTATTTTTCTAGTTTCGCTCAGTTTTTTTTTAATCACTTATATCATGTATGTTAAATCTTAAGTTTTATTTATGAAATGAATAAAATTGTGTCTGGATTTTTGGGTTGAAGGGATTTTGATCATCCAGATTCATTGTTTGAAGTACTCGGTCTGTTACTAAATTGGTTTAAAGTCACTTCAATTTGGAATATGTAGATTATGGGATAATCTAGATCTAGATATAGATCTTTCAAATTTGGTAATCAGTTCACTTCTTATCCTTTCAAATCTGAAAACTAGTCAATTAGGTTTTGTAGGCTAAGGGTAGGTATTAAATTTTTGTTTGTCAATCAAGTTTTTTTGGGACTAAGGCTTGATTGTTGGTTAATCAAGTTTTATATGTAGTGCTCTAGAATATGGCACTTATTCCTCTGCTAATGGATAAAGCTTACAAGCGACTGCAAGTACGTATTGATTTAATAACAAAACCTATCTTTATAACCACATGAACCTCAAAAGAAGAAGCTATTTAGTGATATTGGTATATCCCTAAATAATAAGAAATCTTACTCTTGCCTGAATTGAAAATCCTAAATAAATAAAAAGTTAGATAAAATTGCTAAGTGGCATAAAGTTATAAAAGATCCTAAATAATCAAAATATATGAGGACAGCAGATAATCGTTCTTCATTTGCATGGTTGTTTTACTTCACTGTCTTACCTAGAGTTCCTTAGGCATTAAAGATACCAATGTCATGGCTAAGTTGGATTTGCTTTACACAATGCCAAAGGGAGAAGCATAATTGTATTCCTAATCCAACAAGGGCTTAAATGCAAAATAATTATGAAAATATTAAATACTAAACTGCTCCTAGACTATTGATAAAACAGATTGAAGCAGTAATCCAACCCATTCTGGCATTGTAATGAAGTGTGACAGCAATAAAATACAAAATGTTAAGGCGTAAAAAGAAGTGAATTATATTTCAAAACTCAGTGTGAGACATGAAGTTTGTTCCCGAATAACCTTCTTATCATTGAAGGGTGCCAAACAAAGGCCTTAGCATTTCTTTTAAATTCTTTTGATGGATTCCGTCAGCATGATCCATCAATTCTTGTTGAAGTTAAATTAATCTTCAGCCAGGCAATAGCCTAGTAGCTGTGTATCTCTCGACTTGTGAATATACTCAATTTCAAATTGGCCTCCTTGAATATTCCAAAACGATAAAGTCTTGGTCCAATATATGCTTTATCAAGCTTAAGTTTTACATTGTCATGGCAATACAAATGTATGTATTATATATGTATTCTATGATTTAATTTTTCTAGTTTTTAGATCTTATCTTAGTTAAGTGCCATCCTAGAATTATGACTCCTTCCTTCATTTCTACCCCCAAATTACATTAATTCATCTTACCTTTCTGTCCTGGCTTCCTGGATTATATTAGTTATTCACATTTCTATTGTAGTTAAACATTCATATCTTTTCTTCCGTAAAAAGTCCTGATGGCCTTTATGCTTGCTTGTTTTAGTTGCACTCTGTAAATGGTGTGGTACCTGGAAAGGAGACAAAGTTTGTAGCAGTTGCAAAAAGGAACATTATTGCTCACAGAAACACCAGGTGATTATCTTAGTTTTTTGTTTTAAATATATGGCATTCATGTGAATATAGCCTGCTTATATTTTGCAGGTCATGCACTGGCGCTCAGGCCACAGAGTTGAGTGTCAACAACTAAGTCTTTCTTTGAGGCTACCTGACTCTAATTCCAGTAATTATGAAACCATAACAGGGGAGATAATTTCATGTTAGTATTTGCATCTTGAACCTAGAATGTCATGGACAGTCTCTGCATACATGTGTGGCTGTGTGCTTGAGTTTCAGATAGTGCATGACCGCTCTTTTTATTGAGGAAAAAAAAGAAATACACTTCACAATGTTGAATTCAGTTACAGCTTATGCATCTAGGATCATAATGATCTAACCTAGCACCAGAATACCAATTTATTTGATATAATAATTCTTGAACCTTGGATGTTAAAATGGATAGTATCGTCTTTGACATAAAATTTATGCCTGAAAAGCTAGAATCATGAGTGGTTATAGCTATGTGCATACACTTAAGCTATGTTTGGTGAGCTGTAATGGAACATAATGTAATGTAACCAAAAGCATTTCTAGTGTAATGTTTACACTAAAAATGTCTTTGGTTACATTATTATGTTATCTTATGTCTCACCAAACATAATCTCACAGTTTATGTTGTCTGCATAGGTGTAGTGAAGGGTTCTATCAACTTAGATTTGTGAATGATGAACAGTTCTTGGAACAGCCACCTCTAATTTAATTCTGCATCATTTTCAGTTGCTAGCAACACCCTATGGCCAGAGTATGAGATTTTAAATGAGGAAGAAAGTGAATTTGATGGTGAAATGTCCGATAGTGATGGACATAATTGGAGTAAAGCAGACGATACAATGAAATTGTTGGAAAGTTTTGAGGTATCAATTAAATTGCACTTTTGTAATGGAAATATACACATACTTTTCTAAATTGGCTAAATGCTTATTTGACTGTATGAGCAGGGAGACAGTGACAAGAAATGTTGGGTTTCTTTCCAAAATCGCATAACCAAGGCCCCTGAACAAGTTTTGAGGTGACTTGTTGATATGATATGCTGGTGCATTTATATATATTTTTAGAAACTTATATTGAAAACTTAAAGCATAATTGGAAGTTTAAATATTTACTGCATAAGCCATCTTAAGCTGGAATGTGAAGAAGGCTTCATGGGCAAGCGAACAAATAGATGTGTGAGCTTATTTCATTGGGTTACTGATTTCCTCCACTTTGAGATCCGTGGTACAGAATTCACAATCTGTACTTGCTAATTATCCTCATAATCTATGTTTACTGTTCTTTGTGTGTGCATGTATTTTCTTGTAGTGATTTACGGCCCAATTGGATCTCATGAGTTTTCTAGCTTAATTATGTATTGGCAAATCATTTATCACGTGTGATGTTCTTTCTTGGTTTTAATTTTGCCCGTCTAACTTGCAACATTGAAATATTTCGTTCATTTGGTTTAAAATAACAGGTACTGTAGGAATGGTAGTGCAAAACCCATATGGCCTGTGTCAAGCGGCCAGCCTTCTAAGGCTGATATTCCTAATTGCTGCTATTGTGGTGGTCCTTCAAATTTTGAATTTCAGGTATCATATAATGTACCTTTTAAGTGATTTTTTTTTTTTTTTTTTGTCAAATTGGAATATATATAACAAAGAAGCACACAGACATCCATCCACATTGTATTACTTTGTAATGCATTAGAGTCATATGTTGTGTTTCCACATGGATCCAAAAGCTTAGTTAAATATGTACCTCTGAAGTTATAATTCCATTATTTTTGTGGTAACAGATATTGCCTCAGTTGCTTTATTACTTTGGAGTAAAGAATGATGTGGACTCTCTCGACTGGGGAACTATTGTCGTGTACACTTGTGCATCCTCTTGTGAGGCTAGCATCAGTTACAAAGAAGAATTTGCCTGGGTTCAACTCTACTCTTAATCTGGTGATCCATGCCGAATTTGTATTGAAAAGGTTTCTAACCCTCTTTTTTCCTCTAGCTGCTAGTTTAGATAAATAGTACCTCTAGTTTATTTATGTTTGGAGTTTTGAGTTGCGATTCTGCTAGGCTTGATTAGAATGTAATTTTCTTTTACGTTTTCAATGAAAATTATTATATAGTCTTGAAATCAGTGTTGAAGTTACATTTGGGGAAATAATCAATATGAAAATGATCCATTTGGATTTAACTCTTCGCTTTGGACTGTGAGTGTCTCTTTGCTTTTTACAAGTTTTAATTGGATCTAATTTTATAAGTTTGAAGCATTATTCAATATATGTTATGTTATGTCATTCTATAAGGTACAACACCAATTTCAAATTGATTCGATTGAAGAATGCATCATCTGTTACCTGTTGTTTATCATCAGGGTCAGCTTTCGATCCCATCTCTATCAACTCCTTTTACTTTTTCGGGTAAATCAAGCAACTCAAGTGCAAAAACATCAAGACATGCAGCGATGGATTGGTTCACCACGTGCTCCTATTTTACGATTTTTGTTCTTCTTCGATGTGTCCATCCAGTTTGATTTCTGTAACCCAGATGGAGCGTGGTATACTACTATGACTTAGGAAATTAAGTTCTATTTAAATTGTCTACTCTAAACTAGAGGAGAGTTGGAAAATATTCAGAAATAGACAGCATAATAGGAGGGACAGCAACAATTCTACAAGACAAATTTGCATTACATGTAACCTCCTAAAGATAAACATAAAGTTTTCATTTTGTCACCTAAACAATACCAATAAGCCCAATTCCTAATTTTGTCACATAACGAAAATCACCTTCCACATTCATAATCTCATGATTGCCATTCATACTCTTCACCGCTTCCCTCTTCAATTTCTCCAAAAAATACATCTCAATTCGTTTCTCTATGAACTTTGTCAAACATTAGCTAAAATGGGAAGTCCTTGAACAAGAAAAAAAGAAAAGGATATTTATTGAGTTCTGACAATTAGGTATTTCACTGTTGTTCAAGCATAAACACATTTTATGAGATGTAATTGATTAAGCTGTATAAGGCTTTTTGTTTTTTGTGACTTTCCTTTTTCTGACTTCTTCAAGTGTAGTCTGCTTTAATCCGATTATCGTTTTTGAGGTTGATGTTGATTTGTAGAAAAAAAAACACAGTATTCTGCGGCGTGATCTTAACGCAGGCCCTTTAAGCTCAAAAAGAAACGAACAGAATTAAGAAGAAAGGCTCCTCTAGCAATTACTCAATCTGCATATTTTATTCTTGCTGGTTTTATGTTCATTGGCCTTTTTTCTTATGTGGGTTTACTTTAATTTCTGATGAGTGATTTTGGTCGACATTGCTTTTAACATTATTGAAATTTAACAGAAAATATTCATAATTTGTCTTATATTTTTTTTTTTCCAACCAAACAATGGCTATCTGTTTTTGCATATTTCTTATACTTGGATATTGTTTGAAACTGTGAGTTCTTGCAGAAAGCATACTTCAAATGTGCACATGAATGCTTTGATAGGACAAGAAGGCAGACTGAATTGGAAGGCGAGGCAGAGGCTTATTCATTAGGTGAAATATTCAAATGCTCATGCTTTCTTTTACTTTTGAGATAGAAAAACTAGTATGTGTTCCATATGTCACATGTATAGGCATTCCTTCGGTTGCAAATCCGCCTCCATCACATTCTTGGTCTTAGGTGCAAAGCTCTTATATCCAGAAACTGCAATCCTCACTGCAGCCAATATCACTGAAAAGTTAACCAACAGAAATTATGCAATTAGACTTGTTTATCCACGGCAGTTCAAAATTATGCACTAGGGACCTGATCCCCTGTACATCGCTGACTGATCTAATCCTCACTTGATCAGTCCTATCATTATTTTTTCATTCTCTCTTTTCTTTGTCATTAACCAATAAAAGGCTACCTTGTGGTTTTTTCCATATCTCAGATGTATACTGGGGGACTGATCTCTTTATACATAGCCAATGGTATCGCAAACTGCCTTCAAAAATCCCATGGTGACCCAGTTCATCCTAATTTCACACAAATAAGGCAAATCAATATCATAACACAAATAATCAAGCAATGTATTCAACACAAACTGCACCAAATTAATAATTAAACTGCAAACATAAAGATATAATTATGATATATAATTATATATTAACAATAAAATTCTAATATAGAAATGATTATTAAATTAATATTTATACATTTTTTTATATGGTAATTAATTAATGTATGTTAATGATAGTATGCACTATTTATTATTACTCACAGTGATTGGAAAAAACACAATTTTACTCTTGGTTCAAGCTTGGAGAAGCCGAGAAGAGACCTAGACGATCTAAAAGTGATAACAGAATTAAGAGAAAAGCTTCCATTAGAATTTAGATTTAACTTACTTAGTTTAAGCCGCTAGCTAAACATAAAATTATGGAGATTTTGTTGAAAATACTGTAAATTTTCCCCTAAAAATTAGACTTAACCACTTGTTTATTGTCTATAAATAATATATAAAGCTCGTCCATCGGGCAAATTCTTATCAATTAAACTCATCCGTCATTTACGACATTTATCAAAATCTCATCCTCAATATCCAATCACGTGATTTAATTTATATTAAGCTATTCAAATACTCTAATTTTTTGCTATTTAATTATATCTATTTTAATACTTAGCTAATCAAACCATAAAGGCTAAAATGTTCTGTTAATATTAAATTCACATAAATAATTCAATTTGTCATTACCAAAATAAGTTTACTTCACTAACCTACTAGATTAAATTTCTAAGATTATAAAACTCAAATTTAATACTCTTTCTGTTTCGATTTTAAAGTCGAATTTTTAAATTTACGTCAAGTAGTAATTCGAAGGCCAAGTGTGCTTGGATTGCAAAACTAGTTATATATTTGCACTCTACAAGAAAAATACCATATTCTACCTCTTAGGAACTCCGGTCACTAAAGCCACCATAGGTTGTCGTCGCCTCCACCGTTCACGGTTGTCGAGGCAGAGGCAGGTCCCAAATTTTGCAACTCATGTCTCATTTTGCTCCAAATTTTATGTAGCTTACATTTCTATAATCAGTTTATACCAATTATAGAATTGTTTGCAGGGTATCAAAAAGAGGCTAAAAGAAGCAGGGACCAACTGGATCAAGGAGTTGAATAGCGTCCTATGGTCTTATCGAACCACTGCTAGAAGTTCCACAGGCGAGACACCATTCTCTCATGTATATGGTGTAGAAGCGGTCATATAAGTTGGAATTAGAATGCCAAGCAGAAGGGTGCAATCTTAGCGAAGATGACAACTCTGAGTCTTTAAGAAACGAGGCATCAATTAAGGCAGTCGCTCAGCAACAGCAAATGGCAAAATACCACAACCGAAGGGTCATGAAAAGAACGTTTGTAATAGGAGACCGAGTATGGAAGAAAAATAAAATAAAAACAGGATCAAGTGGTAGGCAAGCTGAGCCTAAATTGGGAAGTCCCCTTCGAGATTACACAAAAATGGGACCGAGCACATTCAAAATCAAACCCCTAAACGGATTAGAGCTTCCTCGGATTTGGAATTTAGATAACTTAAAGCATTGTTTCTTGTAAATACATATGGAGACATTAGATAAAAGTCATGTTTTTTTTTTACTTAACTTTGCAAAGCCCCATAGGACCAGGGTGTACTTAGGTGACCCAGGGGACTCGGGAGTATAACATATAGAGGCCCTGCAAAGTTAAGTTTTTTCCTCATTTTTTATGAATAAAAAATAAGATAAAAGAAGAATCCAAAAATCCTACATGTCACACTTCTCACAAGACTCACCAAGTAAAAAGGGCCGAGCCCCTATCAACTAAACATTAAAGCTCTAAGAGAGCAGTTAGAGGTAAAAAAAAGGCCTAAGTAAATAAAAGGGCGGAGCCCCTATCAACTACATCTTAAAGCTCTAAAAGAGCATTTAAAGGCAAGTAATGCCTAAATAATTAAAAGGGTCGAGCTCCTATCAACTACATCTTAAAGCTCTAAGAGAGCATTTAAAGGCAAGCAATGCCTAGGTAATTAAAAGGGCCAAACCCCTATCAATTGTACATTAAAGCTCTAAGAAAGCATTTTAAGGCAAGCAATGCCTAAGTAATTAAAAGGGCCGAGCCCCTATCAATTATACATTAAAACTCTAAGAGAGCATTTAAAGGCAAAAATGCTTAAGTAATTAAAAGGGTCGAGCCCTACCAACTATGCATTAAAGCTCTAAGAGAAAATTTAAAGGTAAAAAATGCCTAAGTAATTAAAAGGGTTGAGCCCCTATCAACTGTACATTGAAGCTCTTAGAGAGCATTTAAAGGAAAAAATAACCTAAGTAATTAAAAAGATCGAGCCCCTATTAGCTATTCATTAAAGCTTTAAGAGAGCAGTTAGAGGCCAAAAATGCCCACATAAATAAAAAGGCCAAGCCCTATCAACTACACCTTAAAGCTTTAAGAGAGCTCGAGCTCCTATCAACTACATCTTAAAGCTCTAAGAGAGCATTTAAAGGCAAGCAATGCCTAGGTAATTAAAAGGGCCAAACCCCTATCAATTGTACATTAAAGCTCTAAGAAAGCATTTTAAGGCAAGCAATGCCTAAGTAATTAAAAGGGCCGAGCCCCTATCAATTATACATTAAAACTCTAAGAGAGCATTTAAAGGCAAAAATGCTTAAGTAATTAAAAGGGTCGAGCCCTACCAACTATGCATTAAAGCTCTAAGAGAAAATTTAAAGGTAAAAAATGCCTAAGTAATTAAAAGGGTTGAGCCCCTATCAACTGTACATTGAAGCTCTTAGAGAGCATTTAAAGGAAAAAATAACCTAAGTAATTAAAAAGATCGAGCCCCTATTAGCTATTCATTAAAGCTTTAAGAGAGCAGTTAGAGGCCAAAAATGCCCACATAAATAAAAAGGCCAAGCCCTATCAACTACACCTTAAAGCTTTAAGAGAGCATGCCAAGGCAAAAATGCCTAAGTAAATAAAAGGGTCGAGCTCCTATCAACTACATCTTAAAGCTATAAGAGAGCATGCCAAGGCAAAAAATGAAAGTTGGCTCGGCCTCAATAACACTTGAGTCAGTGAGAATAGCAAGCTCTAATATGTTTGATACTTTAGGATCTCCTCCAAAGCCAAGAGGCACATCCCTAACAGAATCTTGCATAACACCTCCCGAGACGTCCACCTCCCCAGCCACT